TATGCCTCAGCATAGAACCATAGAAACATACAATAGTTTGGGTTGGAGAGGACCTTAAGATCATCCAGTTCCAACCCCCTGCCTTGGGCAGGGATGCATCACCCTAGACAGTGTTGCCCAAGGCTCTGTCCAGCCTGGCCTTGAACACTGCCAGGGACGGAGTGTTTGGGCAACCTGTTCCAATGCCTCAGCACCCTCACAGTAAAGAACTTCCCTCTATCTAACCTGAACTTCCCCTGTTTCAGTCTGAACCCATCACCCCTTGTCCTATCACTACAGTCCCTGATGAAGAGTCCACCTCCAGCATCCTTGTAGCCCCCTTCAGACACTGGAAGCTGCTCTGAGGTCTCCATGCAGCTTCTCCAAGGCTGAACAGCCCCAGTGTTCTCAGCCTGTCCTCATACAGGAGGTGCTTCAGCCTCTGATCATCCTCGTGGACTCCTCTGGACTTGTACGGGACCATGTGCTTTTGGAGTTGGTCTCTTGCTTCAGCCTGTACCTTCTTGCACCTGGGTGGTGAGGACTACCTGGGTCATACGTGTTCACACAGTGCTTTGGATGCAGTTCTGTTGCATATCTGAGTGATGGAAGTGTCTTTAATCACTCATGACTGTCCCCAGCCAGAGCAGCCTGCTGTGCCCTGGAGGGATTGAGCAGGTCAATTCCAGAGCAGGCATTGCCTGCAGTGCCAGGTTTACCTAGTGCCTCCCAACAAACTCCATATGTGGTGGAGTAACTCCCAGGAGGGAGGAAAAATAGACATTTCTGCTGTCTTGAAACAAGGTGCAGTGTCCTGGGATGCTCCAGATCTGCAGCCGTCAGTCATCTTCCTTAACAACTTGTATGGAGTGAGCACTTGCTGATAGTGCCAGCAGGGCTGCTGTGCTTCCAGGGGTTGGTGAGTGTCTTGACATGGAGCTTGCTGGCCTGGGCCCCACAGGGTGCTCCAGGGGCGTGCCAGCACCTTCTTTGGGACAAAGGCAACCTCAGGACCACTCCTGAGTCACTCCTGTCAGGCTACCACATGCCCAGCATCCCTCCAGGCTCTTCCCAGCCCTATTGCTCTTCCCTGATCCCCTTCCCTGGGGTGTGCTGCTCACATGGGTTCAGCTAATGAAGCCTCAGGCTTCTGAAGCATGCAGGGATCAGGCTCTTCAGTGCTGGTAGAAATGCCACGGTCAGTGCTGCTTGGTGGCATTTTGGCAATGATAGGTTGAGCAGCACTATTGGCCCCAGATAACTGCAAGCTGTGGTACGATGAGGCTTCAGGGCTATGTGTGGTTTGAAATACTGTAGCTCTTTCTCCAGTAACTTTCCAAGTATCTACATTTTCTAGAGCTTTTTCTCACTTCTTCTGACTGGCACGGTCCAAGCACTGACCCTGTATCATGAAGATGTGCTCCTATGTCATGAAGGTGTGCTCCCATTAGCCTGTAGCCAGGTCTGTGTGATGAATGAGGGATCTCACGTGCTCTTTGCTGATGATGGAGCTGACAGCTGAGCATTTGTTGGGGCCTCTACCATCTCGCTGCAGGTCAGGATATATCTTTACTCAGGTAAAACAAGCAATGTGTGGAGTGCTGAGGAGTGAAGCAGAGCTATGAGCAGCCTCACGATGCAGTGAAGTTGCTGCTTGCAGCCAAAGCTTTCCAGTCCCTGTTGCTGGTGTAGTGGGCTCACCTGGAAAACTCAGGAGCTGTGGCTCCAGGACATCACATGCTGGGGCTGCTCAGGAGCTCCCCATTGAAGCAGGTAGTCTGGGCTGTGCTGCAGGGGAATGACTGCAGTCCATGCTATTAGATGTGAACTGATAAGCAGGTCAGTTTTACTGGATCACTTTTAGTTTTGGTGGCCTAAAAATAAAAGTCAAAAGTGAAGTGTTTTCCTGCACAAGAGAATTTTAAAGGTTTGGTTTGGTTCAAACAGAAACTCATGTTTTTAAAGCAATCTGTGCTGCTTGCAGAGGACCCAGCCCCTGGCTTATAGCAGCTCTGCATCAGTTGTACATGTTCCTGGGAGCACGAGGAGCTGTGCTGAGGAGACCTGGGCAGGAATGATTGCATCTGTCTCTGTGCAAGAGCCAGCTCATTCCATGTTTTAAGCTGTGTATTACTAGTTTAATAAAGCAGGTTCTTTCAGCATGCCAGGGAACTTACTCAGCTCCAAGCTTACAAAACCTCCTTGTTCTCCCGAAGTTCTTTGTTCAAAAATAGATAGACACCAACCAGTAAATCCACCTTTAATTTGTGGGGGTATGATGAGCCACGAGTGCCCTTCTCTGAATGAAGGGCAGTAATAAAAGCTCCCTGGCAACACCAGGACTAGAGAGCCTTGCAAGGCAATGCAGCTTGCTGTGGTAGCTTGTGACCTTCACCTCAGGACAGCTTTGGGTCTGTTTGGGTCTGCCAAATGATGTTGGCAGCATGGAGCAACACACAGAAATGCAGCTGCTGCTTCCAAGGGCTGTTAGCAAGATGGCACCCACATGTGTGCTCTGGGGCTTCACTGCAGTGCCCCAGAGAGATTCTGGTGATAAAGAAGGTGGTTCACTGTCCTCTGCCTGTGAGAAGCTGAAGCAGGGTATTGTTGGCCCAGGACTTACCCTGAATCTCATCTCTACATGGAACATCAGGGCAGAGTGGCCCTGGGCACAAGTAGCACTGTGTCCAGAGGAGCAAGGAGTGGAGAGCTCTGAGCTGACAAAGGAGATCCAGGCACTCTACAAGTAAATTAAAAGGATGTGTTTTCCTACCTAGCTCTTACAAGGCCAAGAAATAAGCACCCTTTGCTTCTGTAAGAAAATACTGGGAATCAATGTTGCCCAGAATGTGCAATACCCTTGGCTCCCGTGTCCTCTGAAGTGGCCTGGTTGTGTTTAGATGTTTCTTTGTCATGGTGAGGGTTATGTGGGAGCCCTCAGGTTGTAACCTGTGGAGCTTGCAGTGTCATTTGCTGCTGTTTCGCCCTCTTTTTCCATACTCCTTAGGTGGGCACTGTTGTTGGTCCTGAGCAAGCTATGGTCCCCATAGCCCTCGCTGGGTCTTCCCACCAGTTGCTGGGACAGATGCAGCAGGTGCCCCAGCATCAGTCGTGCCTCTCGGGTTCAACCTCAGCCAGCTGATGGCCCTCTCCTGGCCAGGACCCGCTAGCTGCTAGACCTGGCACTGGTCCCTTGCTCACCCCATGCATGAGGAGCTTTTCTGGGCTGTCTCCTTGACTCAGGGGTATGAGCCCTGCCTCCTGCACCCAAGCCTGGGTCTGTGAAGTGAGGCACAGAGGCACGCGTTAGCCTGGGAGGTGTCTCTGGGAAAAGAGGGACAACCCCAGAGCATGGTGGAGCCACTGGGGTCTCTGGGGGAGGGCTGGGGGACTGGCAGGTGACTTGTTCCCCATGCTGGGTCCCAGGTTGGTGCTTTGAGTTGGGTGATCTAAAGGACTAAATCAGAGAGAAGGGCTTTGCAGGGAGATCAGGGTGGCACAGGCTGGGATTGACACTGACTCTATGGTCTTCATTTTGGTTTTGGGCCTGCTATTGCCTGTACATGTGCTCAGTGTGCCCACTGCAGCTCCCTGTAGTGCGTATTCCAAGTTTAAGTCCCAGAAATGGAATAAAAGCAATAATCTTTATTCAGCTTGCTGAAAATCTGGCATTTCCTTGGTTGGTTTGAAAGACCTGCAGTGTCTCACATTGTCATGCATGAGCAGAGGTAGAAGTTTCGGATCTATCATGGCATTTTGTGATTTTCACTCACACAAAGCTGTCATTCCTTTTCACACAGCTTGTCAAGCATCCAAAGGCTCAAAGCACAGAGGAGTCTAAACACAGACAGGTTTGTGCACTTAACTTCTTGAGAAGAATCTAGTGCATGTCCTCAACAACACCAAAGGAAAACCCAATATCTAGATGTGCACATTCAGCGGCACTGCCCAAGTTTCTTGGCATTCCTGCTTTGCAGTGTAACAGACACATTTCTGTATCCAAGCCCCTGCTCCAGGCTGCCTTCTGGTAAGACTTTAAAGCAGTTATTCTCTTGAGACATGTTTTTGTGTAATGATGAACTGCTAGAAATAAGCATGACTGTTACAGTGAAAAGTGGAGCCTTTGCAGGTAGTGGGCAGGTAGTAGCAGTGGCTGTTGTAGCTGGTTGCATAATGCATGGACCAGAACTGGAGATCTGAAAGATTGTGTATTTTTTTAGTTGCTAACCCTTGCTAGGCTGGGGAGAACATGGAATTCCATCTTGCGGATATACTGGATTGTCCTGATTTAGAGCAGTTGAGACAGTGGCAGTGTGCAAATGGTTTTAAACAGTGGAGTATGTTCTTGGTGTGGTGCTCAGCAGATGCCAGTGACTAGTTGGCACAGGGACAACCTGTAGGTCACTGCTCACTGCTAACTGGTTTCCTGCACTCTGCTCCCAACTGGGCACCTGAACCAGGGAGGGAATATGGGAAGAGTGGTGTGCTCTGCCTGTGTGTGCTCTTTGCTCTGATCCTACAGCTGGGTACGGGGAGCAGGGTCCATCCCCCTTGCTTTAGGCATGTCTGGGAGCAGGAGAGGCCCTGTCTGAATCACACCGACAGTTCAGTATCAGGACAAAGCCCCAAGCTGGTTCTTGGTGTGGTGTGTCTGGCCGTTTGCAGACACTCAGTACATCCACTGTGCCGAGTTCAAAGGACCGATCGTGGGGGATGCTTGCTAAAAAAAGCTTTCCCTCATCCTCCAGGCTTAGGGGGATTCTAGGAATTCATGGTTCATGAGCTATGGGGCTGTAGTGTCCATTTTTAGTGACCTTAAATGAAATTAAGGGCAACATGGAATATGTTTGTCAAAACACTAGTGACAATGACACTCCTGCAAGGCCACAGGGTCAGCTTTCCTCGGGCAAACACAAGCAGGGCCAGCAGTGTCTGCAAGATGAGCTAACGTCCCCCATGTGGCAGAACCAGATGCCCCAGCGTGCTACAGTTGGGAATGCGCTTTGTGGGGTTCGGGAGCTATTTGGGATGGGCTTCTGGCTTCACACAGGTCTTGTGGGCTTTGCTCTGGTGAGGGGAGGCTGGTGCTGCAGCCTTGGATGAGTGGCCAGGCAGTGCACAGGGTAAATGGGTGCTCCTGGGCAGTGACAGAAGGTGACCAAAGCAGGCAGGATGCCTCGGGGTGGAGGAGACCCTTCTGCTCATGAACCAGGAGCTACTGTCAGTGCAAGCATGAAGCTTCCCATTGCTTCTGCCAACTGCTGTCCTGCCCTGCTTTACGAGGTGAGCTCAGTTTGTAGCCATTGCCTGTCTGCTCTGTGCAGCCAAATAGAGCACTAGGGACTGGAGGACCTCCACTTAAAGCCCACCGTAGCCCAAAGGCAGTTCATGCCCTCTGCAAGACTTCATGGATCAGCTTTGCCAGAGTAAGCATAACTCAGCAGAAGCCTGACTGTGCTGCCATAGTCATGGTGCTGTGCCTTGGGATGGGAGAGCTCAGCTCTGGGTGCTGCCTGACCCTCAAACTCTCCTGCTACTTTTTTTTTTCCTTTTTGCTATATAAAAAAATTTGCTGCATTTTTATAAAATAAAATTATAAAAGAAAATTTTTCCTACATTTTTCTTTTTCTCCATGCTAATTCCCACTTTTTTTCCCCAGTGCTTTCCAGGGCAAGCACATGGGCTGAAGTCGATTTAGTAGTGTGGTAATGGAAGCCTCTGGCACAGCCCTGCTTGGGGAGGGGACAGAGGGGTGTCCAAGCCTGTGCTGGCCATGCCTTGCTGCCAGTCCTGGGTCTGTGCTGCCCAAGCAAGAGTTGCATTAGTGTAGTTATCCTTGCACAGCCTGTGTCTCCTCAGACACAGTTCTGCCTTTCCCCAGGCACTGCCAGGCCTACAGCCCCAGGGACTCACATGGACATGGTGCTCAGGATTGGGCAGAGCTCACCTGTCCTAGCTGGCATGCAACGGTGGCTGATGCCCAGTGTTTTGGTGGCTACTATGTCCCCTTACCAATATTCTCACCTGGAATCGCAATCAGCTGTGTTTAGGGAGCTGACAGCACTGTGTGACATGGCTTCCGCAGCTCCTTTTGGCAGCAAGGGTAGTGAACCTTCCAGGCAGCCAAAGTGGCTCAATTTCTGTAGCATATACAGGGCATGGAATGCATGAAATATCCACCCCTGTGACACTGAAATCCAGGAAATAAACTCTCCAATCAGAATGACAGGTTAGACCTGCCTAGATTTGGGTGTCCTTTCTGATGAGCCTGTATTTTGCCATGGTTTGTCACATTATGCTCCAGTCATGGCCTTTCCTCCCATCCTCCCTGATCCGTACAGTGATGGGAAAGCCACAGGAATTGCTGTAATTGATTCTGCGTGAATCCCCATCACCTTTTTCCCTTCCCTTGGCCTTGCCCTCCACATCACGTGTAGCTGCTTCGCATTCCCTTCCCGCTGTGAACGCTGCCCAGGCACCCCAGGAGCAGCAGCAGTGGGGCAGGTTCCTTCTGGACTATCATGTCTTTGACATCTAGGTGAGAGCAGGGAGGAGTGAAGTGCCATCTGCAGTCATAGCTGCCAGGAGAGCATGTTTCCAGTAGAGGACATCCCACAACAAAGAGGTTACAAACCGCAGTCAGGTCCCAAAGCTACTAAACTTGGAAAAAAAGAGCAGCTCCTTTCTTTGCATACTGTATATGGCAGAAAATGAACAGGAATTGGTGAGCAGGCAATCCCTTCCTTCCAAATATAGGGAAGGGGCCGAGCTAAGGGAAGGGGCTGAGCCTATAAAAGCTGTCAGGGAGAAAGCCCTTGTTGGTGCTTCCTGATCTCATGGGCATGTTGTGAGTGACCTGCAGAGGCGTGGAGAGCTCCTCCAGTGCTGCTGTTCCCCGTGCTTAGAGGTTTGTGAGGCTGTAGATTCCTCACTGGGTCATTCCTTGGATAGGGAAGGACTGGTATCTCTGGTCCTCAACTGGAGTGGTTGCTTGCAGTAAGGGAGGAGTATTGGGCCATCGGGTTGTAGTTTAGCTGGAGTTTGACCTTTCCACTCTCTCTTTCAGAGATCAGAGATGTCAGCCTGTTCCTTCCTTCTGTTGACTGATCCTTAAGGTGAGCATTTAAGGCATGGAAACTAACAGCTTGCCCAGACTGGCTTGAGCTGGCTTTTCCCTTGCATTCACTGTGAGCAGGTCCCCTTCTTCCCTCTGCATGATCCGTTCTAACAGACCATGGCACGTGTCTGTTCCTGCCTGCTGCAGCTGTGCACCAGAGGACTAGGACAGGCACCATGTTAAAAGGGAGTGGGGGAAATCGTAAGTAAAGAACTGGAACTAAAACGAGCTTCAGGGCCTCAGTTTTACTAAGGACTATGTGAATCCTTCAGAGATCTTTCCTTTTAACACATCCCCAGGGAACCCTCCTGCTCCTTCAGGCATGGATCCCCTTTCACTGAGGCCGTGAAGGGTGGCAGCTCTTTGTTGCTTGGTGCATTCCAGCTCTGAGAGGCAAATATCTCCCTCAGACCTTGCAGCACACATCTGAGAGGTGGGAAGGGTGCTCTGGGAGGGGCCCACCACAGCAGGGTCTGTCTTTCAGCTCCAGCCATGAGCAGAGACGCTGGCATGGAGGTTTTTGGGGAGGCTGCACCGTACCTGCGCAAATCAGAGAAGGAGAGAATTGAAGCCCAGAACCAGCCATTTGATGCCAAGACCTACTGCTTTGTGGCTGACCCCGAGGTGGTGTACACCAAAGGCAAGATCAAGGCTGCACAGGATGGGAAGATAACTGTTGAGACAGAGGATGGCAGAGTAAGTGCGTTCCTCCTGGTCCTCCTCCTTGCCCTGCTGAGATGTCTGATAGGGAGGACAAGGAGCACAGAGTTAGGCTGGCTCAGGCAAGACATCTACCCTGCCCTACCCTCTGACTGGGACCAGCACAGTTTCCAGAGGAAAGCATTGCTCAGGATCCTGGGATGAAGGTGTTCTTTGGGTAGTTACTCTTGCTTTATGCTTCAAAGATAAGGCAGTGCTCAAAACCAGGTTTGGTTGTAGCCTTGCAAGTCCTAGCATTTTTCACCCACTGCTTTTAACTCTTTCTCACGTATCCCCTGATAAACTTCTTCCTTCACTGGTAGCAGAGCAGGCATCTACTTCGAAAGTCCCTTTGCTTGTGAAATGTCGCTGGCTGCAGTCTCCTAGAGAAGCCTCCAAGGTGTTAATCTTGCAAAAATGCTGGCAGGTCTTAGCAGCTCATGGCCTGATAACTGCTGTGAAAACAGCTGCAGCAGCCCAAAGCACCCAGCGTCCTGGCAGTAGGTGCTAAAAGCTTCTTCAGAAAGCAAGTAAAGAATACAGCAGCCATCCACTGGTTCAGCCCAGCCTCCAGCAATTCCAGCTATGTGACAGAGCAGAGCCTGCACAGGCACCTGTGTGTAAGGACCTGCTTTCCTGGGGGCTGGGTCTTTACATCCATTTGAGGGGTTTTGCCTTTGTAGTGTCCTGTGGGCAAGATTTACATGGTTTAAAATTGGAGTATGTGTGTAAAGTGCTTCCTTTCCTCTGCAATGAGCAGCCTGCTCATTTCAACTTATTTTTTTCACAAGCAAATATTAATTCTTCCTCACCATAGCCAATGGCTCTCTGCTATTCCTGACTTTGTAGACTGCAAAAGTGTCTCCTGGTCACTGCTAAATCCCAATCAAGTTATGCTCTCCTCATAGGAAAGCTGTTTCATACATGTGACCATCTTTGTTTCTCTTCTCTGGAGCGTTTACACTACAACTATATCCTTTTGAAGAGGTGTGCTCAGTAACAAAAGAGGGAATGGACTGATGGACACATCCTATGTAACACTCTCTTCTTTTCTCTCTTTCTTTTCTAATAATTCCTAATACTTCAGAGCTTCCTGCCCTCTTCTGAAGTTCAGGTTGGAGATAAGGCAGAAGCTCTTCCCTGTGAGGGTGCTGAGGCGCTGGCACAGGGTGCCCAGAGAAGCTGTGGCTGCCCCATCCCTGGCAGTGCTCAAGGCCAGGTTGGACACAGGGGCTTGGAGCAAGCTGCTCCAGTGGAAGGGGTCCCTGCCCATGGCAGGGGTTGGAACTGGGTGAGTTTTAAGGTCCCTTCCAACCCAAACCAGTCTGGGGTTCTATGAAATGACAGCAGGATTTTCAAGCTCCTTCATTCAGTGTGCCTGAGGTAAGCTGCTGCCATCAGTGTACATCTGCTTTCCTGTACATCTGCCCGCTGCCCCCACAGCTAGAGGCTCTGGTAGTGTGATGGGACATCACCTGCAAGGAGAGCAGGTTTTGGTAGAGCTAGAGCCTTTGCTTAACTAGGAATGGTAAGAGGCCAGAGTGGAACTATTCTGTTCCTAGGAAGGATTTGCTGTTGATGCCTCTTGTTCTTGTCCTGTGCACAGTGTCTTCAGGCACAGTGAAGCGTTAAGTCTTGGAGGATGAAAGGTAGACCAGCCATGAGCAGCCCTGCTCCTGGCTATTTCAGCTATGAGCAGCAGGGACCTGAAGTTCATAAGCAGCAACAACGTGTAGAAAGATCTGGTCCAGCACAAATGCTGTCTGTGTGTTTGTAGCAATTCCAGGACAATAAATTGACATGCTGTAAATTTGCCCGTGTTGTAGAATTCCTGGCTGGCATCAGTGTCTGCCCTGCAATAGCTGTGATCTCATTTTGCACAGTGAAGCAGAAAGAAAACTATGAATTAGAGCAGCCTGACAGATGTTATTACTTCCCTGTGCCTGTGTCTCTGTGTATACAGGGAAGGAGCATCGAGAGATGCTGAGTCAACTCTTTCTTTCTGAATTACAGACACTTGCTGTCAAACCTGATGATGTCTATGCCATGAACCCACCTAAGTTTGACAGAATTGAAGATGTGGCAATGTTGACTCACCTCCATGAACCTGCCGTCCTCTACAACCTCAAGGACCGCTACAGCTCCTGGATGATCTATGTAAGTTCCCTGTCCTGGCAGAGGAGAAAATCCAGCTGTCAGGAGATGACTGCAGTGACTCTTCCAGTTTTGTTTCCCACAGACGTACTCAGGTCTCTTCTGTGTCACCGTCAACCCCTATAAGTGGCTGCCAGTGTACAGCCCGCAGGTGGTGGCTGGCTACCGAGGCAAGAAGCGTCAGGAGGCCCCTCCACACATCTTCTCCATCTCTGACAATGCCTATCAGTCCATGCTGACTGGTGAGTGGATCTAGTTTGACCAGACTCAGAGCAAAAAGGCTGTGTCAGAAACACTGCTCCTGCCAAATGCCATTCCTCACCTGCCATGGGCTCAGCTGCCTCTTCCATCTCTTACAGTGTGCTACCCCAATTCCTTGTCATGTTGCAGATTGTCTGCTTGAGCTCCCAACTGATGTACTGTAGAATCTGATGTGCTTATTTTATCTGTAGATGATGCAAACCCAGCTCCACGCAGTTTTCCATGTCTCCAGAATTAGGTTTTTTATTCTTGAAGTGCTTTGCTGTTGTAGTGCACATTATCTGTATTTCTGGTCCAAGTACTAAGCTAAGCACCATAACAGGAACCACTGCAAAGGGCAGTTGCAGTTGGATAGGACACATTATCTGGGAAGTCCTTAGCACACCAGCATGTGGCTTTGTGCAACAGCAGGTAGGTTCAGAACAGAGCTGGAAAAAACATTTTTACCAAAATACATGGATTTAATTTGAATCAAGTCCTGGCCCTTACTAAATTCAGGCTGGATGTGAGGAAAAAATTCTTTAGAGTGAGGGTGGTAAAACCCTGTATGGCTTACCCAGAGGTGGTGGATGCCCCATCCCTGGAGTCATTCAGGGCCAGGTTGGATGTGGTTTTGGGCAACCTGATCTAGTTGAAGATATCCAATGCTCATTGCAGGGGGTTGGATTAGATGAGCTTTGAAGGTCCCTTCCAACCGAAAGTATTCCATGATTCTATGATTCTAAATAGTAATAAAGAACGTTATTCTTTATGTTAGTAAAAAGTAATAAATAATGGTAAAGACAGAAGCAAAAAGGAGAGTGCAGGGTGGAGCAAAAGTGGAGAAGACATAAAGTGCAGTGCAGGGAGGGGAAGAGAGAGGAGAAAAAGACCATGCATCTTTTCAGTTTTGCTTGTAGAGGTTTTGTTTCTTTCAATTCAGTGGACACTCAGGGTTGCCAGAGAACCAGCACTTTTCCCTACAGCTTCTCTGACTGCAGGCATTTTTCCTTTGACAGATCGTGAAAATCAGTCCATCCTGATCACGTAAGTACATCTGCCCCTTTGACTTCTGTCTCCAACAAAAAGGGGGCAGATAATTCTTCACTCTGTGCTTTCTTTTGGCAGTGGGGAGTCCGGAGCAGGGAAGACCGTGAACACAAAGCGCGTCATCCAGTATTTTGCCACAATTGCAGCGGGTGGAGACCTAGCCAAGAAGAAGGAGTCTTGGATGAAGGTGTGAGGAAGAAGGGCTTGGCAGAGGGGCAGTTGGGATGTTACCGACTTGTGGGTGAGGGCAGCACTTATGACAAACATTTACCCCAAAACATCTTTCATTAGCTTCAGCCACCCTCTCAAAAGGCAATAAAACCAGGGGTTGATGTGCAGTTGGAACCACCAGAAATACAAGCTACCAGAGTGGACTGAAACCAGGCTGGTGGGTTGGTCTCCAGGAAGAATCAGGAGCTCCAGTTTCTTCAAACAGACCACTCTATCCATGTGGCTAAAAGATGAGAGCTCTGACCAGGGGGGAAATCCTGAACAAGAGGAAAATGAATTCTTTACAATTTAAACACATTGCTGGTTCTTGATGCTGTAGTCAAAAAAGATGCTGTAGTAAATCTGTACAGCTGAAATGAAGGGCAGGTGGTTGCACATGTAACAAGGTGAATAGCAGTATGGTCACTTCTTCCTGTCACGTAGCCCTGGGTGTTTCTTAGTAGTTATTCACCTGTTTTCACAGGGGACACTCAAAGATCAAATCCTCAGTGCTAACCCACTGCTGGAGGCCTTTGGGAATGCCAAGACTGTGAGAAATGACAACTCCTCGCGCTTTGTGAGTCACTGTGTTTCTCTCTGCCCTCCTGCATTTCTAACCCTGCTTGCTTGCTTGTTACTTGCAACTGGGAGCCACTGGGCTGAGAGAAATGTTCTTGCTGACAAATTTCTTGGTTGTTTGTCAGATGATAGAATCTCAGACTGGTTTGTGTTGGAAGGGACCTTAAAGCTCATCCAGCTCCAACCCCTGCCACAGACAGGGACACCTTCCACTAGAGCAGGTTGCTCCAAGCCCTGTCCAACCTGGCCTTGAACAATTGGGCTGCAACAAACTGTGCCCTTTATCTATCTTCTAATTCAGACTGATTTGGCAATGCTGTGACTGAGATTCAAGAGCGAAAAGAACCTGGGAATGCTGCACTGACCACTACTTTTGTCTGCTTGCCAGGGTAAATTCATTCGTATTCATTTTGGGACCTCTGGAAAACTGGCCTCTGGTGACATTGAGACCTGTGAGTAAATGATGGGGTCTTACTGCTTTACTATGAAGTAAAGAAATGCTTGAAACATTAGTATGTACACACATATTACAGACCTGTTGGAAAAGTCAAGAGTCACTTTCCAGCTGAAAGCGGAGAGAAGCTACCACATCTTCTACCAGATCCTCTCCAACAAGAAGCCTGAGCTGCTTGGTAAGGACAGCCATCCCATGGTGACATTTCACAGGAAAATCATTTCTCTGAATATGCCAGTTCAGTGACACAGGATCCAGTGGCACCGTGTGTCACAGGCATCCAGCTTCCCCTTCAGACAGGTGCCTCAGGCTGTGTGAAGCACTGAAGCTTTGTTCATGTTCTTATTTGTGTCATCTGCATTCCAGCATCATTCATTAGAGGGCTGGAGCACCTCTCCTATGAGGAAAGGCTGAGCGTGTTGGGGTTGTTCAGTATGGAGGAAAGAAGACTCTGGGGAGACCTTAGAGCAGCATTTCAGCGCTGGAAAGGGGCCTGTGAGGAAAATAAGGAGTGACTGTTGCAATAGGATGAGGGGTGATGGGTTTAGACTGAAAGAGGGAGATTCAGGCTGGATGTGAGGAAAAAATTCTTTACACTGAGGGTGGTAAAACACTGGCACAGGTTGCCCAGAGAGGTGGTGGATGCTCCGTGCCTGAAGACATTTCAGGCCAGGCTGGATGTGGTTCTTTGGCAACTTGATCTACCTGAAGATGTGTCTGCTCATTGCAGGGTGTCGTGGTTTAAACCTAGACTAGATGAGCTTTGAGGGTCCCTTCCAAACCAAGCTATTCTATGAATTTATTCTATGATGCCTGGGTTACCAAAGCTGCACACAGCACTGTTCTCTGTGTAACTGTCACACTAGGGTTTACTCCACTTCCAATTTATCTTTGCTGGGTAAGTTCTTATGCAAACTGTATGCAGGTGAGGTGCAGCAGTGGATATTTACTCTCCCTTACACTTTGCTGTTCTTGCTGGTGTGGAAATTCCAGCATACATGGACCAGATCCTGTGAATAATCTTCAGTAGAAAGGTCAGAGTTCTCTGGGTGCAGGATGGGCACATACCCTGGTCTACAAACCACCTATCTGAACTCTCCGTTGTATGAGCAAAAGTTCTTCCTGTTCCCAGCATAGCCCCTCCATCCTTTTCCCCTTCCCACTGCCATGTCGTAGGATCATAGAATAGTTAGGGTCGGAAAGGACCTTAAGATCATCAAGTTCCAAGCCCCCTGCCATGGGCAGGGACACCTCACACTAAACCATCTCACCCAAGGCTCTGTCCAACCTGGCCTTGAACACTGCCAGGGATGGAGCATTCACAGCTTCCCTGGGCAACCCATTCTGTGCCTCAACACCCTCACAGTAAAGAACCTCTTCCTTATATCCAATCTAAACTTCCCCTGTCATACCCTACCTATGCCCCACATCTATCCCAATCCTTTTTGGCACACACTGAACTCCTGCACTCCTCCTCCCTTCACTCTGCCCTTCCCTCCTAACTATCCACAGAACAGTTCCCAAGGTGAAGTTCCTACACTCATCTTCCCACTATGTCTCCTCCTGATGTTACCACATCCCTCTTCCCTTCCCACAGAGACTGCCGTGTGCTAGGGGGCTGTATGTGTGTACAAGCACACAGATTTATCTTCAATGTGTGGAGGGCTTCACCTCCTGCTTGCAACCCCACTGCACATATGCACACCTTCACTTCTCTTACTCTACCATAGGATTGGGGGCTGAAAATAAGTTGTGAATTTTGGCCTCAATTTGTAATACAAAACAGAGTAATGGGTTTAAACTTAAACAGGGGAAGTTCAGGTTGGATATAAAGGAAGTTCTTCCCTGTGAGGGTGGTCAGGTTCTGGCACAGGTTGTCCAATGAAATGGTAAATGCTCCATCTCTAGCAGGTTGGACAGAGCCTTGGGTGCCATGGTCTAGTGCGAAGGATCCCTGCCAGTGACAGGGGGTTGGAACTGGATGATCTTAAGGTCCTTTGCAACCCAAACCATTCTGTGATTCCATGATTCTATGTCATATGAGAGGATGAGCATGTGCAAGTCTCACTTAAAATTATCTTTCTTAAAGCTGTATTTGGATGTCCCTTCTTCCTTGTCTGCCAGTGCTGACTGTTCAGCTCCAGTTCAGAGCATACTGAACTGGTAGGACTGAGAAGCTTTCCGGGACTTTCTGTTCACCCAGTGGAAGGCAGATGAATGCCTTTACTCTGTCTTGTCTCTTAATAGAAAACTAAGAGCTTGGGGATGCAAAAGGGAAAAGAGCCTGTGAAACCTTGCTGAGCTGTTGTTCCATATTCACTGCCATGATCTGGCTCTTACTCCTTCGTTTGCCTTTCAGAGCTGCTCCTCATCACATCCAACCCATATGACTACCCGTTCATCAGCCAAGGGGAGATTTCTGTGGCCAGCATTGATGACCAGGAGGAGCTTGTTGCCACAGATGTGAGTACCTTTAGCAAGGAGAGACAGTATCATTCTTACTATCACCACCACTATAACCAGCTGATCTCTCTGGCATGCAGGCAGCCATTGACATATTGGGCTTCAGCCCTGATGAGAGAATGGGGATTTACAAGCTGACAGGGGCAGTTCTACACTATGGAAACATGAAGTTCAGGCAGAAACCACGTGAGGAGCAGGCAGAGCCAGATGGCACAGAAGGTAAAACCTTCGTGGCTTGGAGAGACTTATTTCCAACTGTTTTCATACTGTTTTTCCCTAGAAATGCAAGGACTCTTCTGGGAAAGAAGTTCTTCCTTGATGAAAATGAAAAGGACGTTCAACCGTCAACTTACCACCTTGTACAGTCACTTTCTGCATTCACTTTACTCCCAATGGCTCTGCTGAAGGACCCTGTGCTGGGACATGTTATGGTAGTGCTGCCCAGTTTCTGGTTACACACCCAGACTTGATCTGCTTGGGTGACATAGCAGAGAAGCGACTTGAAGGGAAAAACACTGTTCATAGAATCAGAATAGTTTGGGTTAGAAGGGGCCTTCAAAGCTCATCTAGTCCAGCCTCACTGCAATGAGCAGGGGCATCTTCAACTAGATCAGGTTGGTCCATCATCAGTACACTAACTGGTTTTGTATTGCTTTACAGAGGCTGACAAAGCAGCATACCTGATGGGCCTGAACTCGGCAGACTTGCTGAAAGCTCTGTGCTATCCCCGGGTGAAAGTGGGAAATGACTATGTCATGAAGGGCCAAACAGTGCATCAGGTGGGTGTCAGGGAGCAGCAGGGACCACATTTCCCTAAGAGATGGGAGTGGATGCAGGTCACAGCTGAGGATGGTCAGGACCATTAAGGCCTATAGTGCATTCTGTGGGCTGAAAGCATTTTTGCATAGTGAAGGGCTGTTTTGCTCTGGTGGTGCACTAGCAGTGCCCTGACAGAGCTGTGTGAACCATGTCTCTGCAGGTGCACCACGCAGTGAGTGCCATTGCCAAATCAGTCTATGAGAAACTGTTCTTCTGGATGGTGATGCGCATCAACCAACAACTGGATACAAAGCTTCCAAGACAGCACTTTATTGGGGTCTTAGACATTGCTGGCTTTGAGATTTTTGAGGTTTGGTTTTGCACTCTTTTTAAATGCATTTTTCTGCTTGTTTGACTTTTCTGACCTTTCCTCTTCCTCACCCCAATGCAGGCCCCAAGAACAGGGCAAATCTCTGAAATGACTTCTGCCTTTGTAGGTCTATAACCACTACATAACAGAAAGGAAACTGCAGAAGCAAAGCTATGAAGCTCCATTCCCACAGAATCTCTATTTAGGGTCACCCAAAACCATCACCAGTGCAGACTTTATCAACCATGCACAGCACTTTTCCTGTAAGCCAGGACAATCCATGATATATTCTTTACACTGTTACCAAAACCCTTCAGGGATATTCTATCTGACCTTGCCTTGGTAATTCTATGAAATAATCTATTTGTGTCAGCTTAACAATATTAAAACATTTACTCAAATATTAGTTCAACAGCTTTGAGCAGCTGTGCATCAACTTCACCAATGAGAAACTGCAACAGTTCTTCAACCACCACATGTTTGTGCTGGAGCAGGAGGAGTACAAGAAGGAAGGAATTGAATGGGAGTTCATTGACTTTGGGATGGACCTGGCTGCCTGCATTGAGCTCATTGAGAAGGTGAGTTTTTCATGCAGTGTTTGCAATCACAGAGGTCAGAACTGGAAGGGATCCTCGAGCATTTGCACCAAATGCCTTCAATGCAGTCTCTCTGTGAAGCTTCCAGGTCTCCTTACTTCCTCCCTTCCTTTAAACCTACCACTTATGACTGATCATCCACCAACTGGAAATGTATTCTGCCTTCTAAAAAGACATTGTTTTTTTTTTCTCTGTTCTGCCTGTCTTACACACCATTGCAAGTTATCATTCCATTGTCATATTTACCCCACTTCTCTTCTGTCTTTGCATATTGGTTCCTCTTCAGGGTTTCCTCTCAGTTAAATTCAGATGTTAGAAAGCCTCATGTCTGACTGCTTTTTGCACCTTTTGGATAAGGAAGTTGCTGCAGATAATCCAGAAAACTGCTTCACAGTTTTTGCTTGGCTTTCTTAGTTTCCCAGCCAATGTCTGGGTAGTTCAAAACCCTACTTACAAAAATCTGGTGCTTTTGAATATCTTGTCAGCTGTTCATAAAAATCTTTGCTTCCCTGCAAACTTCCCAAGTTAATTCTGCATAAAATACTTCCAGTACTTTAACTTTAGCATTTCTTTATATTATTATAGCTTGAATTTTTCTTATTTGAAAACACTTTTTTCTCTATTCAGCCCATGGGCATCTTCTCCATCCTAGAAGAGGAGTGCATGTTCCCCAAGGCAACTGACACCTCTTTCAAGAATAAGCTCTATGACCAGCACCTGGGCAAGTCCAACAACTTTCAGAAGCCCAAGCCTGGCAGAGGCAAGGTTGAGGCTCACTTCTCCCTGGTGCACTATGCTGGCACGGTGGACTACAACATCACTGGCTGGCTTGAGAAGAACAAAGACCCTCTGAATGAAACTGTTGTGGTGCTGTATCAGAAATCATCTATGAAAATTTTATGCAACCTTTATGCTGATTTTGCTTCCATAGATGAAGGTAAGATCAGAGAATCATATCTCCTGTCTGGTGTTTCCAATTGTATCACCTGACTTGAATCAGTGTTAAGTTAGTATTCATGCTCTATGTATTAGATGCACAATTATAGTGCTGTCAAAGGGATCTACAGCAGTACCTCAGTTGGGACTGTCATCTCATTTTCCAGCTGAAGGTGGTGGGATTAAGAAGAAAGGAACCAAGAAAAAGGGCTCTTCCTTCCAAACTGTCTCTGTACTCTTTCGGGTAGGTGTGTTCTCTGGCACAGCTTGGGCCAGCTGCAGAAAACACTGAGAAGGCAGTATTGTCAGACCTTCTGCAGTAGGTCACCATTTCATCTTTCTCTGTTGCCATACAATGTTGTGGAATGTTACCTTTGGGATCTGGTAAAGCTTGGTTTGGATTCTGCTTTGCTGATGAGGTCCAGTGGTGGAGAAGGGAATTCATGTGCTTTGATCAGGTTGCACAGTTTCAAGACAGCCCAAAGGCTGTTTTGGCTTTGGTGCCAAAATAGTTTGGTTTTTGGTGTTAGTATCTTTGCTGATAACAACATCCTGCCCTTATATGGCTGCAACTGGCTTCTTCCAGGATGTGCCTCTTTGAGTACAGGATGTTGTATGGCAACCAGTGCCTTGTAGTCAGTGTGAGCAACACAACTTACATATTGCAGCTCCTCAATGTTGTTGTGACATGTGTATTCTGGAGTCAGGAAGAGACTTAGCCCTTCCTGGCAGGATGATGAGTGCTGCATCCTGCTGGCAGTGACATGGGCCATATATCATTATTGCATGAGAAGATTAAAGAAATGCAATGCTCATAAAAACTATGCTGCGGAGCAGGTGACTTCTGATGTCATAGACAAACATTGATTTTGTGGCTCAATTCTCTTTTGAATACACATAGCTAATATGTGTATCTATATATACATATAATATCTCTCTATATATCTAAGAGAACCAACAAATGAACCCGTCAATTAATTTGATCAAAAGTTTGTCTGATCAAGAAAGACCACTGTTGGTATCCAAGAACATTGTGCATTTCTTTCCATCCTTCTCCTGTTTAATAGCTCTTATAATTAGCTTCTAACCACTAAGGGACATCTTTTCGTTTTAAGACAGGAGGCAAGTTTATCACTTGTATCCACTGTTAGTAGCTATTTACTGTGCTAATGCCTGAACAGGATTGTAGAATATTCACTAGAATAGTAAGAAAAAACTTGTGAAGTTTCATTTTCCATCAGAGTCAAATTATACTGAGATACGTCTTGAAGTAAGATAGAGATTGCAAATGATCTCTTTTTCACAGGAAAACCTAAATAAGCTGATGTCCAACTTGCGAACAACCCATCCTCATTTTGTGCGTTGTATCATTCCCAATGAAACAAAGACCCCAGGTAATTCACACAACAAAGATGAGAAACTGGCAGGAAGACCAATTAACCAATGCTAGAAAAGTCAGTCTTATTCCCATGATGTTCTGTCCCAGGCCTGATGGATCACAAGCTTGTTCTGCACCAGCTGAGATGTAACGGCGTCCTGGAAGGCATTCGCATCTGCAGGAAAGGATTTCCTAACAAGATACTATATGGGGATTTTAAACAAAGGTCTGTAACTTCATTCTTGTATTTGCATTGAGCCCAATTCATTTGAGAGAAGAGACTTGCTAGACTTGCTAAAATCAATGATGTGGTTTTTAGGAAAAGAGTGTTTTGTTATTTAACAGCTATGGAAAGTTGATCTGACCTGCTTCTTACTGGTTTGCTATTGAAGGCTGGAGGTACCTGTACCTTCAAAGTGAGGGCTGTTCTTGGAGCATCCTGTGCCCTACCATGAGACTGATGGTTAAGCTTTTCCCTTCATTTTGTCAGATACCGCCTTCTGAACACTGCTGTCATTCCAGAAGGCCAGTTTATGGATAACAAGAAGGCGTGTGAAAAGTTGCTGTCTTCCATTGAGATAGATCATACTCAATACAAATTTGGACACACTAAGGTAATATTTTTTCCCCCACAGTTTGAAATTATTCACTGCATTCAGATAGAAGCCCAGCAATGACTGATCTCTGTTCTTTCCTTGCAGGTGTTCTTCAAGGCAGGCTTGCTGGGTGTCCTAGAAGAGATGCGAGATGATTGCTTAGGAAAACTCATCACGCAGACACAGGCTTTATGCAGGGGATACCTCAGGAGGCTTGAATTGAAAAGAATGGTGGACCACAGGTGTGTGTCTTCTGTGAGGTCTGCTTTCTCAAGATGTGCTTTTTTCACAGTACTGATGGATCGTTTTGATTTCAGGGAGTCCATCTTCTGCATCCAGTACAACATCCGTACGTTCATGAACGTCAAGAACTGGCCCTGGATGAAGCTGTACTTCAAGCTAAAGCCCCTTTTGAAAAGTGTGGAAACTGAGAAAGAAATGGCCATAATGAAGGAAAAGTTTAAGAGAACAAAAGAAGAGCTGGCTAAATCAGAAACCAAGAGAAAAGAACTGGAACTAAAAATGGTGACTCTGGTGCAAGAGAAAAAGGCTCTGCAGCTGCAAGTACAGACTGTAAGAAATTTAAGACCATTTTTGGCTCCTCAATTGCATTAGTTTTGTCTGAGTGTTCAGGAAGGGGCTGAATGGAAATCGTAGTATTTCGTGTCCCAGTTGCAAAATGAGCACATGGTTTCTGTGTCAGTTCCAATGTGTGACAATGAAACATGTGTCTGTTTTCTGTAAAAAGGAAAATGAAAATCTGGCTGATGCTGAAGAAAGATGTGACCAGGTGATCAAAGCCAAATTCCAGCTGGAAGCAAGAATAAAGGAGGTAATGGAAAAACTGGAGGATGAAGAGGGGATAAATACTGATCTGGCAGCCAAAAAGAGGAAACTCGAGGATGAATGTTCAGAACTGAAGAAAGATATTGATGACCTTGAGTTAACATTGGCTAAAGCTGAAAAAGAAAAGCATGCCACAGAAAACAAGGTACTTTTTATTTCTGCTATTTACATGTTTATTAATAGTTGCTGTGTATGTAGATAGGATGTGGAGGTGCAGTCAACTTGAACAATAATATGATCTATGGGCCTTGTGCAGAATTTGGTCACCTCTGTTGCACAGCCAAACCAACCTGTGAGCATGCAGTAATGCATTAAAATGCAAGTTGAGTTGCTTTGTGGCTTCAGAAGGGTAATATGCAAGAAGAAAGGCTGTATAGTTTGACCATGTAGTCTAGCAATGAGTTTATTGCCTTTGTGTGATCACTAGCCTATGGAAAAGCCAAAATTATTAGTGACCTTCAAGTATTTTGCCTTACAATAGGTTAAAAATCTAACTGAAGAAATGACAGGTTTAGATGAGACTGTTGTGAAGTTAGACAAGGAGAAGAAGGCCCTACAGGAAGCCCATCAGCAGGCACTGGATGACCTTCAAATTGAGGAGGACAAAGTTAATACCCTCACCAAAGCTAGGATCAAGCTGGAGCAACAAGTGAACAATGTAAGCATGTTCAACACAAGGAGAAGAGGCAGATTCATCAGTCATTCCATCAGCCATCCTTATATATGTTCATGTTACAGGTTGAAGGATCTTTCGAGCAAGAAAGAAAAGTTTGTATGGACCTTGAACGAGCAAAGAGAAAGCTTGAAGGAGACTTGAAACTTGCCCAGGAAACCACAGTGGATCTGGAGAATGATAAACACCACTTAGATGAAAAATTGAGGAAGTATGATTAAGAAAAAGCAACAAATTTATCATTTGGTTTTTCTCTGGACCTGTTTTATCTTTATTGAAAGAACATTTTCTTCACAGGAAAGACTTGGAATTTAATGAGATGCAAACTAAAATTGAGGAACAGCAGAGTTCAGGTATTCAACTCCAGAAGAAGGTCAGAGAATTGCAGGCAAGAAACTTTCTAGCTCTACTTTTTTTGCTTGTTTAAGCTGCAGTAGCCTGAAAAATGCTTGTCCATGGTTGGTAACGTAAAACCTCTGACTTAGCCACAGTAGTTGCCTCAATACACTGTAATAATTTGCTCCACAGAAGTGAGGTGGGTTAGCCCTGGCTGAGCACCAGGTGACCACCAAAGCTGCTCTATCACTGCCCTCCTCGGCTGGACAGGGAGAAGAAATACAGTGAAGGCCCGTGGGTCAAGCTAAGAACAGGGAGAGATCACTCAGCAATTATCATCATGGGCAAAACAGACTCCACTTGGGGGAATTAGTTTCATTTATTACCAATCAAATCAGAGTAAGGTAAAGAGAAATAAACCCAAACCTCAAACACCTTCCCCCCACGCCTCTCTTTTTGCCAGACTCAACTTTACTCCCATTTCTTCTACCTTCTCTGCCACAGCAGCTCAGGGCCACCGGCAATGGGCCTTCTGGTCAGTTCATCCCACACTCTGCCACTCAGGGGAGGACTCCCCTGCTCCATCATGGGGTCCCTCCCATAGGAGACAGTCCTCCATGGACTTTTCCAGCATGGGACCTTCCCATGGGCTGCAGTTCTTCACCAGCTGCTCCAGGGTGGATCCCTTCCATGAGGTGGATCCTTCAGGATCAGACTGCTCCAGTGTGGGTCCCCCACAGGGTCACAAGTCCTGCAACAAAGCTGCTCCAGCATGGGTTCCTCTATCCATGGGGCCACAGGTCCTGCCAGGAGCCTGCTCCAGCATGGACTTCCCACAGGGTCACAGCCTCCTTTGGGCATCTGCCTGCTCCTTCGTAGGGTCCTCCATGGGCTGCAGGTGCTTATAGTCTCCAAAACAGTGGCCTTGTACTCTACTATGACAATTATATGTTAAACTAAGCACTGAATTGTCTGTTCCCTTATTTATTCCTGATGTGCTGTTTCCTTGTTATACAGGCTCGAGTGGCAGAGCTGGAAGAGGAGACCATGAGTGAGAAGGCAGCGCGGGCAAAGGCTGAGAAGCATTGCCATGAGCTGTCGAATGAACTTGAGGGAATCAGTGAAATGCTTGAAGAGGCTGCGGGAGCCACCACTGCTCGAAGTGACCTCAACAAGAAGCGTGAGGCCGAGTTCCAGAAGATGCGTCGTGACCTCGAAGAGGCCACGCTGCAGCACGAAGCCACGGCTGCTGCCCTGCGCAAGAAGCACGCGGACAGCACTGCTGAGCTTGGGGAGCAGATCGACAACCTGCAGCGAGTGAAGCAGAAGCTGGAGAAAGAGAAGAGTGAGCTGAAGATGGAGATTGACAGCTTGGCCAGTAGTACAGAGACCATTACTAAGTCCAAGGTGTTTCTTTATAAGCTAAATGCTTGCATTGGCTTTGTTTCTGTCCGTGGGAGGTTAATACATTACAAACACACATACACAGATTCCACTTTCTTACTCCCTTTCAGGCTCATCTGGAAAAATTGTACCGCACTCTGGAAGACCAGATGAGAGATATGAAAGCCAAATTTGAGGAAAACCAGAGAAACATGAATGAGATGGTGATCCAAAAAGCTCAGCTTCAGACAGAGTCCGGTAAGGAAGGCACAAAGATCTGCTGAGGGCACATTTTTTCCCATACCCTCTAATGTGTACTGTGAGACTTATTGTACCCAGGGTGCTCATTCTACTTCCAGACTCATTGTTATAGGCACAGACAGCATTAGAAATAAATCCAAGGCAGTGAGTCCATGAGGGACACTTTAAAGTTCATATGCCAATTGCAAGCATTATTTGCTTAGGTGACTGATTCCTAGAATGATGTGACATAACTGATTCCATGCAGAGGCACTGGGAATTCAGGACTGTCCAAAATGACTTGAGTAACCTCTTAGAACTGCAGTTACTCCTCCAAGAGTGCACATATTCACTGTGTGTACAGTATCTCTGTGTGTGCTACCCTCATGAAGTTTGTAACTGCTCCCGTGCAGACTTGTTGCAACAGTGAGTGTGATGAGCATGAATGCTCCTTGGTCTGGTTGACTGCAAGGTCAGGCATCTCAAATTAAAATGCCACTGAATTGACTTAAACTAACCTGAATTTTAAGGATTTTACACAACAGCAGGTCATGGAGTGCTGACATTTGCTGTTCTAGCAGCTGAAGCACAGAGCTACACCTGCCATGAAACCCCTTTTTTATATGAATTCATATGGATTTATGTGAATGAGCTCTATAGCCACATCTGTATGTGGATGGTAATACAGTTACAAGGGAATAACATGGCAAAGAGTGCATTGCATGTGAAAGTCTCCCAAAATCTGTTAATTTCTGGAGGCTAGTCGTTCTGATGAATCCACAAGAACTGCCAAACTCAGAACACTTAAGACCTGTCAAATCAGCCCAAAGCCACTGGCAAACACCATCAACAGCATCAACAGTGGGTTGTATAACTGGGACCACATCCAGGAGGATTGTGGCTGCTGTATGCAAAGACTACAGCATTAAATATACCACTTGATGAAACCAGGAGCCCCTTAGGGTCTTTTTGACTAAGTGCTTCTGAGCAAAGAGCTGGGTTTGACCTTCAGGTATTGCTCCTACTGGAGAGATACAAGTGAATGTGTATGTGAGCGAGCTGTGAAAAAATGCATACCTGTGCTGTGTTCAGAGTTGCCTGGCATTAACAGCTCAAGGCTAATAACTGTAGTGACTTCATTAATAAAAGGTGTTCAACTAGATACTGGTTGTCATCTGTGACTCCCGCATCTCCATCCCTTAACAGGGAAAAGGACACTTAAACATCTTCTGGTGGAGAATGTCATGTGGGATTCACAGACTATAACCACATTCTTCCTTATTTTCTTCTGAGCAACCTTTCTGAAGTGATCATACTTACAAGATGATGCTATAGATCTGACCAGTTTGTTGTAATGTCATTGTGCATAGTGCTCTGGGGGACTCTTAACAAAATGGAAAGCTTGACAAAACTCTAAATTGGCTCAGAAAAAGACAATTTTAGAGGGCTACAAGCAAACCCAAGTATTCTAGAGGTGACAGCATGGACTATACTTCTCCAAGAAAGGAGATATACTTCAGCCCACAGGACAGAGGGTGATGTAGAATAAATGTTTTCCAGTTCTTGTAAAGCTTATGAAGTGAAACTTCAGGATATATAAAATTATAGAATGGTTTGGGTTGGAAAGGACCTTATGATGATCCAGTTCCAGCCCCCTCACATGCCTCACACTAGACAATCCTGTTTATGGAGCACAGGTAGCTGTGGTCCTCTGGCAGCAGCAGTGATGAATCAGGTTCCTTGTAGCACTGGGTGCCCAAATGCTCTGCACTGTATATTGCAAATGCCTGTGTGGGGAAAAAAATAGGCAAACCTATCTGGAATCAGTTGTGGAGATAGTACAGGATATTACTAAGAAGGTTTGAAACCCTAGAGAAATTAAGTGGTACGCACTTAAATAATTAAATTTGAGAGAGCTGTGGATTAAGCATGCATATATGGAGTCTGAATGAACAGTAAAGCTCATGACTGAAGCAGAATAGGAGTAATATTGAAGGACATAAGTGTCAGTTATATCTGTCTCATTTCATTACCAAACCCTGCATTGCTCTGAGGATAAAGATGACATGGTAAAAAAACATACACAATGAGAATGGTAAAATAAGAATGGTAGAAGTATATACGTAATGGTAATAGGTGATCAGATAAAGCTGCAATGTGTGATTTCACGTCTGTTACTGATTATTGTTATGCATTATTATATATTATACCTGTTTTCAGAATGTTTCATCCTGACAGTGCTGAAAACTTGTCTTCTCCTGTCACAGGTGAACTGAGCCGTCAACTCGAAGAGAAGGAAATCATAACTGTGCAGCTGGCCAGGAGCAAGCAGGCAATTGCACAGCAAATAGAAGAGCTTAAGAGGCAGCTAGAGGAAGAGAGTAAGGTAGTGCTGACCACTGAGCACATGCTAAGGCTTCAAAATGAATCAGGGCCTCAGTTCACTTAAGAAACACTTCTGGGAGTTTGTAAGTAATTTTGCTTACAGCCTACCCCAATAAAGTTACCACTGGGCAGGATGTGTAGAGAGAGCACCGTGTTCAAGTGCTTTGCTGAGGATGTCCCTGACATGTGAAAAGTGGTTTCAGTCTTGGTGAAATTTTTTAACTTGAAAGCAAGGGTCTATGTGATTTCTTTTGCTTCTGTAGCCCCAGGGAAAAAAAGCTACAGCATATGCCAAGGTGAAAGCACCAGCCTTGGTCTTTGTCAGTGGTAGAGCTGAGAATTGGTTGCAGCCGAAGATAGCTGCCTGAACACTGATAAAACTCTGGCCATTTGTCTTCTGCCCAAGCTGCAGTGACCCTATCTTTAGTGTGCATTGTGAGGGTGTCACCTGCTGGTCACAGCTAACATATGTACATGATATTATGGGTAACTTTTAGGCCAAGAACGCCCTGGCCCACGCCTTGCAGTCTGCTCACCACGACTGTGACTTGCTCCGGGAACAGTATGAGGAGGAGCAGGAAGCCAAGGGGGAGCTGCAGCGCACCCTGTCTAAGGCCAACAGCGAAGTGGCCCAGTGGAGAACCAAATATGAGACAGATGCTATTCAGCGCACGGAGGAGCTGGAGGAGGCAAAGTACGTGGTAGCTGAACTGAGCTGTCCAGATGTTATGTACATTGTGCAGAACATAGACCTACTTATAGTAGCCTGACCTAAATTATTCTATTGGGGTTTGTATAGGCACTTAATGAAAACAATTACTTCTGATACTGTACTCAGGAAATTATGTTCATAACTATAATGTTGGAACTGGATGATTCTAAAGTCCTTTCCAACTCCAACCATTCTATGGTTCTATAATAATACAATGATTTTCTGAATCATATGCTTGTTTTCTTTATATTCCTTAAGGAAAAAGCTCTGTCAGCGTCTCCAGGAAGCAGGGCAGCAAGCAGAGACTGTGAATTCAAAGTGTACATCCTTGGAGAAGATTAACTTGAAGTTGCAGGGGGAGGTGGAGGATCTGACAGTGGACAGAGAGAGAGCAAACACTTTGGCTGCTGCCCTTAACAGGAAACAGCAGAACTTCGATAAGGTGAGGAGGGAGCACAGTATTTTTTAAGCCTAGCCTTTCTAGAAGGCCAAACTAATACTCCTCACTTAAGTCAGCACTGAAATCGAATTGAGGCTAAATTAGAAGCTCCTCTGGAGCATAGCAAGGGGGATTTGCCCTGTTTTCAGAGACTGTAGGGTTTATCTAGTACAGAAAATAACCACAAATAACATTTTCTGTACTAGCAGGAAATGAAACACAATGTCTTTCAGGTCATGGCAGAATGGAAGGGAAAGTATGAGGAGAGCCAGCTGGAGCGGGAAGCTCTCTCTAAAGAATCACGCTCACTAAACACGGAGCTTTTCAAAGTGAAAAATGCCTATGAGGAAACCTTAGATCAGCTTGAAATGATCAAACGGGAGAACAAGGCTTTCAAACGTAAGTGTTTGGCTCTGGTTTCCCATTAGCTCTCCACAGTCCTACCACTGCAAGCCATGCTCTACAAGCGTGCTCGTGGCTGCCAGAGGTACATTAAGTTACAGGACTCTCTCATTGCTATTCTCTCTATTTTAATGGAGAACATAAATGTCTCACCAGAAGTTGTTGAGCAAGTAAGGAAAGTGATTAAGCAAATAAAACCAATGTCCTGGCTCTCCATTATCTACTGCAGAGATGTAAGATCAAGGGCATTTAGGTGCTGCTCCCAGGTAAGGATGGTGCCCTCAAGAGGCCTTGCAGCCTGTGAAAGTAAATTTTACAGATGAACTGTGAACATATAACAACAAGACCCTGATGGCCTACCCGGAGATGTATACACATGCAGATACCTTCCAGTGTAAGGAGGGCTATGAAACCACACTGATGCCCCTGTGTGTATGTTGTTGTGCATGAATTGGCTGGATCTGGTTTTATCTGTACATATGTACAGAACTGTGTACACATGCACATCTGTGCATTGAACACAGTCACAAAGCAGAGAGTTCAGCTTCTCTGGCTGCCCCAGGCTGATGTCATTCTCATCACACAGAGGAAATAGCTGATCTGACTGAACACATTACTGAAAATGGCAAAATGGTTGGAGACCTCGAGAAAGCCAAAAAACAAGCTGAAGTAGAAAAATCTGAGCTGCGATTAGCTCTGGAGGAAGCAGAGGTGAGTTAGTTGAAATACTCCTGGGAAAAGCAGACAGCAGTCTGAAGAGCTTTCTGTTCTCTTTCCTGGGCAGTGCTTAAGCGCAAGGTCGACTGCCACAAACTAGGAGTTTGTGTAAGTCACTGAGTACCATCACAATGATGGTGTTCTCTGAACTGTTGCTTTTGTGTTTGGTTTTCACTGTTTAAAGGCAACTCTTGACCATGAAGAGGTGAAAATTCTTGGCATCAACCAAGAACTGACTCAGATTAAATTAGAAATCAACAGAAAGATTGATGAGAAAGATGAGGAGATCAGCCAGTTAAAAAAGAACAATCAAAGGACTGTTGAGACAATGCAGGGTGTTTTGGATGCTGAGATCAGGAGCAGAAGTGAATCCTTAAGGCTGAAGAAGAAGATGGAGGGAGACCTGAACGAAATGGAGATACAGCTGAGCCATGCCAACCGCCAGGCTGCTGAGGCACAGAAACACCTGCAAAGCATCCAGGGAGTTCTCAAGGTCCTGGTTTACCTTTCAGGTTGATTTATTTGGAAGCACAGTGTCCAAGAAATTCATTAGGACAAAATTGGCTCTTTATATTTAGGACACGCAGAGGCAGTTGGACGATGCTCTGAGGACACAGGAGGACCTGAAGGAGCAGGTGGCCATGGTGGAGCGCAGAGCAGACCTGTTGCAGGCTGAAGTTGAGGAGCTACGGGCAGCCCTGGAGCAGACGGAGCGGTCCAGGAAAGTGGCTGAGCAGGAACTGATGGATGCTACTGAACGTGTGCAGCTCCTCCATACCCAGGTGTTTACTTTGCTAAGGAAGACATAATTTTGGGGTCCAGAGATTCATAAAGTAATAGCAATTCATAGTCTCACTGTGTCAAAGACCAAATACAAACACTTAAAGCCTCCCTTTTTCTCCCTTACAGAATACCAGCCTTCATAATACAAAGAAGAAGCTTGAAGCTGATATGGCACAAATCCAAACTGAGGTGGAAAACATTACTGATGAAGCAAAAAATGCTGAAGAAAGAGCAAAGAAAGCAATCACAGATGTGAGGATGTTACTGTGCTTTTCTCTTTGAATTTTTGGGGCTTCCCAAGGCATTGCTGCAGGGAGTTAATGTAAATGCTCTTGTCACAAGTTGGACAAGGAAAAACCAGTCTGTGGGCCTGGTTGAAGAGGCCCTCAGAGGAGGATAAGAACAACAGGGAACTTGTCCTGCTGACAGATGAGTTCTTGGGGCTGTTGTCATCGTAATGAACTAAACCCACATTTACTTAGTCTAAACCAGACTTGTCCAGTGCTGCATGAGTATGTCAACCACAAAATAACCTTGCAGTATTGAAACCAGTAAAGTGGGTAATGAATTTAAAGATTTATCTTTTCCAAATCCTACTGAAGGATTTTTCAATTGAAAATTGTGAATTTCCATTCAAAACTGGTCCTATATGCTCCTTTGAAAGGCCAGTGAATTCCAGGCCAGGAAATAGAGCTGATACCCAACCTGCTGATGGTTTTTGATGCATAGGATCAAAACAAACTCAAGAGTTAAAAACATTTGGAATTAAATAGAAGGAAAACTTCTCCATTTGCTAATGAAAAAGCCCCCCATTTTTATTCTCTTCTAATTAAACAGAAATAGAACATTATAATGAGTTAGACACATACATGTACAGCTCAAATTTAAATGCTGTTATTTCATTGTCACAGTTTTCAATTTAGACTTTTTAATGCATTTTGCTGCCAAAGCAATTTGCTGCATTTTACATTATTTGTAAGCAACATTACTCTGTATTTCACTAAAACACTTCATTTGATCCTGTGGAATCAAATGTTTGAGAGCAAAATATGTCCTAGTTTTGTCTTAAATAACATATCAGGTTTAAACTGTTTTCTGCACTGTAACACTGTCATCCAGGTCATCATGGCAATAACAGGGCATGCACTAAGGCACAACACAGAGATTCCATCATATTGCACGTGTGTTATGCAGAGAAGCCTCTCAGCTGTGCCATGTACTCTCCCAAGCTTTGCTGTGGCTGTTGCTCTACCACAGGGCACCTGTGTGTCAGTGAAGGTCACAGTAATGACCCTATGCTGGGCTGGAGCATTTACCCTTTCTTTGTTCCAAGCTCTGCTTGTGCAGTGAGGAAGATTTTCTCCTATCCTTTTCCCTGCTATTGCTGCCACTGTCATGTCACAAGGCAGGAAATGTGGTGACAGGATCATTAGGAACTGGTAGCACATCTTCACATAGTACACAGCATGCACTGTTCTTTCCCATGCTTCCAGTTTCTTGTGTCATCTTCCTTTGAAGGCAGCCATGATGGCAGAAGAGCTGAAGAAGGAGCAGGACACCAGCGCCCACCTGGAAAGGATGAAGAGGAATCTGGACCAGATGGTGAAGAACCTGCAGCACCGTCTGGATGAGGCCGAGCAGTTGGCACTGAAGGGAGGAAAGAAACAGCTCTTGAAGACAGAGGCCAGGGTGGGTACCAGTGCTGAACAATGGTGTCAAAGATGCCTTTCTTCTCTAAGTCTTACGTGAGGGCTCAAGCCAGCTGTTGGTTAATTCACCAGATCCGGGAGCTAGAGGCTGAGCTGGAAGAAGAACATAAACGATCTGCAGAGGCTATGAAAAACATCCGCAAATACGAACGGCGTGTCAAAGAGCTGACTTTCCAGGTGGGTGTAAAGAGAAAGCAGTTCTCCTAATCTTTTTCTCCCAAGGATGCATAATTGCACATTCCCTTTCTACAGAATGAAGAACACAGGAAGAACATGATGAGGTTACAAGATTTGGTAGATAAACTGCAGATGAAAATCAAATCCTACAAAAGTCAAGCTGAGGAAGCTGTGAGTCACTAAATGAAGCAAAAACTTATTCAGCATTTTCTAGGGCTGTCAGTTTAAAAGTTATCTCTGTGTGCCAGCATGTTGTCAGGGGGATTTTTAATTCCTTTTGTTTTGTCATTTCAGGATGAACAAGCCAATACTAATCTCTCCAAATTCAGAAAAGCACAGCACAAACTGGAAGAGGCTGAGGAAAGGGCAGATATTGCTGAAAGCCAAGTAAACAAGCTCAGAGCTAAAACCCAAGCAGTCCCTTCTGCAAAGGTAGGCAGGTTGTGCAGTCTGTACTGTTTGCTCAAGCAAGTCAAGCAGTAGATTTATGCCTTGCTGGTGGACATAGCCATCACTCCGAAAGTAGTGTTCTGGAAGGAAGGGCTTTGAGGAAAGGCTGAGAGGACTGAAATTGTTCAGCCTGGTGAAGAGAAGGCTCTGAGAAGACCTTATTCTGGCCTTTCAATATATAAAGGGGGCTTATACGAAAGACAAAGAAAGACTTTTTACCAGAGCCTCCAATGACAGGAGACAATGGTTTTAAACTGAAAGAGGGGAGATTTAGTTTGGACATCAGAAAGAAACGTTTTACAATGAGAGTGGTGGGACACTGAACAGATTGCCCAGAGAAATTGTGGATACTTCACCATTGGAAATGTTCAAGCTCAGATTGGCTGGGGCTTTGGGCAGTCCGATCTATTGAAAATGTCCCGGTCTATGGCAGGAGTTTTGAACTAGATAACGTTCAAAAGTCCCTTTCAACCCAAATGATTCTGAGCTATTATGATTCTGTGAGTGGCATTTCAGGCTCTGGTGCCTGTTGGCTCATGAGCCTTCTGGCTTGTTCCATTCCATTTGTTTCAGATTTAAGAAGCGACCTCATAAAGTGACAGCAATGAGAGCCAACCTAACTCTGAGCATCCCTAAAACAACTTTCCTGTGGGCCTTAGGTAGAATTAATGTTCTGATTAAGTAATATGCAGCAGCACTGTGTCTTCAGCTGAACTTCCTGGGCAGTTGTCTATATCCGGCTCAAGACTGGTTGCTACAAGATCCAGAGCCTGTTTTCTAGTGTGATCTGAGCAGGTGTAACACCTGACTGCACATATCTAGGAAATGGACAACCTTGGCTCCAGGCTGCCTTCTGCTTCCCCACAGCATCCTCTTACTCGTACAGCATTTTAACTCTAGAGAGATGCTATGGAAGACATGCTTTCTCCTGAAGGCTCTGTCCTGACACATGACAGACAATGTTAGTTCTACCAGAGGATGGTGTGCACCTTTCACTGAGTCCCTTAATATGATGTTCCAGTATAAAAGGCTTTGATGACTCAGTGCTTATAAGGTTATCTCACCAAGACCCCAGGAGAAGCACTTGGAAAGCTGAGTCCAGTCCTGAACAAAGTTTACAGACATGAGATTCCCTTATACAGGGAATGCTGAATCTCTAGTTGAATTGAAAGCCTGACAGGGGCAAGATTTCAGATGTCTCCTACCGGGTATCCCCAGCTAAGGCAGGTTGAACCTAGTGAATATGCGTGACTCTCTGCAATATGCTATAGCCTTATATCCTGCTTTGATACTGTACAGCATACAGGGAGCCTGGGCACCTGGCATAAGTTTTGGATTCTGCTATGGGAAGCTTAAAAATTAAGGATTGTAATGCCTAAATCTTTTAATAGATCCAGTGGATCAATACCTCCTTTTGCTCCCTTCTATCCCCTGCATTCACTTTTGGAAATGCTGGGATACATCTTGTCCCAGAGGAGGGGGGTGCAGTACTGGAGCACTGCAACAGTAAAGTCACACTTCAGGAAAGCCAACGTTTCTCCATTTCAACCCACTAGTCTGCCAGCATGACATCAGGTGGTGTGTGGTCTTCAGGGTTACAGACACCACTACATTGACCTGGGCGCTGGTTGCACATCCTAGCTGGATGGTGCATTGAGACAGGTAATTTTGGGGACCAAAAGACTCATCTTAATGTGTGGACTAAACAAAGTTTCTCCTTTCCAGGTAGTGTTCAGAAGTGAAAAATGAGCTTCCTCTGGGGTAACCAGAACTTGCACAAAGCATCTTCCCAGCTGTGGATTTGCAGTAGCTAGAGCTACGCTGGTAGGAGGAAACCTTCCACTTGCTTACAGACACAAACATTTTCTGCCACTCTGCTGCTATACCAGTGTTAATAAAGTAGATACCTGCAACTTCAGATGCTCCAAATATTGATGTTCAGATGAGAGTAATTTTCTTTCTAAGCTAAGGGTTCAAGTCCCACTGCTTCTCTGACCATGTTTGAGCAATTTTGTCCTGGCCTTTAGATCTAGGTATTTGACAGGCTCCCTCCACACCTTCTGCTTGAAAGCAGATATCCCGACCTTGTCAATGAAGCTGAGAATAAACAACTGTCAGAGCAGATGTGGGATGTCAAACGTGCAGTGTGAACAGAGTTACAACATTCCTGCTTAGCTTCACAGCTGTATCTGTTCCTGGGAGAATGCCTGGTCCAGCCTGTGAACCAACAGCCATCTCTGTGCATTACAAATTAAGTATTTCTACTCTCCCTGTGCATTTAAGAAAGCTGCCCTGCTTCTGAGTTATCCAGTGTTGCAGGTCTAAGCAGATGAGGACTTGAACTTCAGTCTCACATATTTGTTAAGCTGTAAACAGTTATCAACTGGTCTATAATAATCGCAGCAAAATCTGAGTAGCTGCTTGAAGTTTATCCCCCCACTCTCTGAACTAGTTACACAAGTGGGTTTTCACATTTCCTTTAGGAGCATTTGGTAATGCTGATTGTTATGCAGTGGCCAAAGGTCTCCCGTCACTCTGCCCAAAAAGTAACCTCAGATCTTCAGCTTGTCTCAGAAACCTGGAACTCTGATAAACCTTCTCAGTCAGTCTAGCTATTAGTTTCCCCAAAAGCTGTCTTCACAGCGTGATCTTCTCAAGAGGGGCCTCCATCCACTGTTACACTCCTGTGATCTGGGGGAATTGGAATTGAACGTTAGTTTTTCACACCAACTGGGACAGATGTGGATGTGTTGCTCTTTTGCTCTCCCAAGAAATGACTTCTGTTCAGCTCCTCATTTGGAGTTGGGGAGCTGAGAGCACGAGGGCAGGAGGCTTGCTGGTAGCAGGGCAGCTCTGTGGAGAGCCTGTGGCCCACTTTGTGCACTGCCAATTTCATGCAGTAAGAATAAAACAGATTGAAAGAAATGCATGGCTGTGGTCACAAAGCTTCCCAGCCTGAGTTGCAGCAAGGAAGCTCAGCCCACGCTGAGCCGTGGTGGTTCAGGACAACACAAACAGAAGCACCCTCCTGCTGGAGAGTCTCAGAGGTGCACACAGCCCTGTCTGCATGCCCATCACACAGCCTGCCATGCCAGGGAAAGGGTTTTAAGATCCTGTTTGAGTCTCCACCTGGAAAGGCTTCTTTGTAGGAACCTGAGCCTGATCACATGGCACCACGATGGGGTAAAGCCTTTCTCTGTATCACCTGCCTGTCTTTAGGTGAGCAGTTGTACTGTCCTGTGGTAGATGCAGGGAGATGCCCAACCAGTGCAGAGGTTCCTGGCAAGGCCAGACTGCTGCGGGCTGTAGGAGGAGTCAGTTTCACTTATTAGGGTGCTGGAATGAACAGCTGTGCCTCTGGTCTGCTGAACCAACCAAGTCTTCATCTGCAGGAGTGCTGCGCATGACTGGGACTGGCTCAAAAGACTGGGTCTCTGCCAAGGGCCCTTGTTCCAAGAGCCAGCATGAGATCCATCCCCTAAGGGTGTGGGACAGCATTTAGTGGCAGCACTTTATAAGCTACCTGGTACATATTGATTTCCATGAACACTTGTTCTTGCCTGCTAGTGCTGCTGCTGTGCATCTGCCCACCTGAATGTGGGTTCCCAAGGGAGATTGACTTGGCCAGCTGATCCAGCTGGAAAACTTCTGGGAGAATGTTTTTCACCCCTGCTGAGAGCTTAATCTGAAGATCCAGCTTTGACAAGGCAATGGAATGAAACAAAAAATTAGACAAAAATAAGTTGGAATGAAAGAAATCCATACCACAAGAAAGGTGATGTTAAATGCATTGAAAAAAGTCGGGGAGGGAATTTTGATGGCTGGGAAGAGGAAAAGGGGCCTCTCAATGGTACCAAAGATCACTCAGAGGTAGTGAGCTTCAGAAGTAATAGATAGATATACTTCCGGCTGCTGAGGATTTCTTTCACTTGCATGAAGTTACACAGCCTCTGGTTTTGTGTAGCTTACATGCATGTGGTTGAAAATGAAGCAGGCAGCCACATGCCCTAAGCTCAGGGACAGGTACACATCTTCAGGCAGGACTTGCCGTAAGCATGGGCAGTGCTGATGGGCTAAGGCTTGGCCTTGTATCCCCAGCAAATTCCCAACTCCCTCCTTGACCCCTCCTCCTGAGCCAGGAGGACCAGCCCGTCATGTGTGTCCCTTCAACCTCAGTGTCAGGAGCTCAGAATAGCCCTGCTCTCACAAGACTCCTGCACAGGGTCATGCCTGTTTGTGGAGATGATCCGTTTCCACTAATAGCGCTCGAAGACATTCCTTGGCGGGTAGGTTGCCTTCTATATCTCAGCACAACGTGCTGCCATGCAGGAGCTGGACAACTGTGGTGTGTCCTAAGATGGCAGATGCTATTCTTACCGCAGAGAGACTTGCTCCGGCACAGCTCCTTGCTCAGCTGAAAGGTTCAAAACCAGAAGCAGGCATGAGTGTGCTTTCTCTGCTAAGAGACAGATCAAGAGTGGCCCCTCGGGAGCCTGTGTAATGAAGCTGTGCCCACCCAGCACCTGGGTGCTCACCGTGCCCCCCATTGGACATGCTGTCCCACGGTGAACACAGCAGCTGCCCAGGTACTTCCAGCAGTCGGCCAGGGCCCACTTTGGGGTGGATGGAGGCATTCATTCTCTTGTAAAACAATGAATTAGAACAATCCTTCAAGACATTCCAGGCCAGGCTGGATGTGGTTCTGGGCAGCTTGATCTAGTTGAAGGTGTCCCTGCTCATTGCAGCAGGGTTGGACAAGATGAGCTTTGAAGGTCACTTCCAAAATATGCTATGATTCAGTGACCTGTAAGCCCATTTTTTGCTCATCAGCAAGAGACCCCAGTCCATGAATCCTTTCCCCTCTGAGGGAGGCAGTTCTTGCTCCAAGCTTGCTCCAGGACTGGCAGCATTGCACAAAAACATGGAGCAGCAGCAGCCCATGAGCATGTTCAGATCCAGCATGGAGCTGCGGCCCCAGTGCATTAAATACGATGCCAGCACCTGAACTTGCCTTCATGCCACTCTCACTGCAGAAAAAGTTAATAAGCCTGTGGGTGAGAGATGGAGGAAGTCAGAGTAAGCACAGTGGTGAGGTAGGGTTGATATTGGGTGGGGGAGTGCAGGGAGGGGTTTGGGAGGTGGGGAGTGAGATGGGTGTGTGTGAGGAAACCAGATAATTGATGATAGAGGATGTGGGAGTAGAAGAAATGACAACTCAGCATCAGGTTTGGGGAAAAAAGAATATGAGAACTGCTGGGAAACACTACAGTGATAGCCCACCAGTGCCGGTCTGGCCTGTAGGCCACCTCAAGAGAGCTTTGTGAAGCTTAGCTTTACTTTTGAAAAAATAATTGACTGCATTGCATCTGTGAAGTAAAGCTGTGTGTTGTTTCACTGCTCCTGCACATGGCTTGTCGCTCATGCCTGCACACCCTGCTGTGGGGAGCTGCCTGCGCGCCGGAGAAGAAAGTGTCCCTAAGCCAGGAGCACAGGCTGTACTGGGAGGAGGCAGTGCACAGCCCTACCTTCCCGGAGGGTTGAAGACTTCAGGGGTACTGGCAGACCACAGCTGGAGGCTGTAAGCCCCAAACATGGCCAGATCTCAGCTCCCCAGGAAGGGGAGGCAGCCCGGGATGGGTCCGCAGGAGCAACTGCTCTCTCTGGCAGGGGGTAAGTGGATGGCGATGGTGCAGAGTGGCCCAAGGTTCGAACTGCTGCTGTGGTCTGCCCCATAGGGACCCCGCTTGTCACTCTGTGTGAGCCCAGCCTGGGGCTACCGCCCATGCATCTGTGTTTTGAAGAATCTCCCAAGAAAATAAACAGCCTAGAAGTGGGAGAGGAGGTGGGAGCAGAAGATGAGTGTCTGAGTGGTACCAGCTGGTCCTGCCCGTCCTGGGAGGAGCGTGTAGATAGATCATGGAAACATAGAATCATAGAATAGTTTGGATTGGAAAGAACCTTAAGATCATCCAGTTCCAACCCCCTGCCACGGGCTGGGACACCTTCACTAGGCCATATAAAAGGGAGATGAACAAATTAATGGTTCTGAGCCAGGGGAGGCTACAGGAGGAGCAGAGGCTGGGAAAAAATCCCCACCGGCAGCCACTGCTGTAAAACCTGCTGGATTATCAGGATCAAAGTGGGACACCAGTGTGAGGAAGATGAATGCTTTATGGAGAAGGAGAATCAT